GGAAATTAGCCTTTGTTGATAGCAGCTAAGTGCCAGTCACTGTATCGGATGGAAAGAGCCTCTGGGGAAAGGGATCCCGAACTTAGCGCTGGTTTTTTAAGGTGATGTGTTAAGTTGAGTCAAAGAGGAAAGTATCATATTAACGATCTCAAGAAAAACCAATGACTTCATTCTCAAATTTCATTTCAGAATAGCCTTTTTGGTTCCTACAGGTACTCAAAGTTATATTCTAAAATAATAACATACATGTGTCTGAAAGACAACTCGTGAAATAGATATTCATTTTCCACCTGCTTGGTGCCAAGCGCCGTTCTAGTTGCTGGGGGGTCTTACCATGATCAAGGCAGGGACACCCTTGTCCTGCTTGGGGTTACTCATTGATGGTGAGACAGTGAAAAAGCAAACCAAGATCTTCCTTGGTAGTGGTAAGTATTATAAAGAGAAGCAAACAGGGGGATGTGATAGAGTAACACAGGGTGGAGGTGGGGTAATGCAGGTTGGAAGTCAGAGATGGTTCTTTGAAGAGGTAGCGTTTGAACTGAATCATGAATGGAAGACACGAACCAGCTGTGCGAGGGGCGTAAAGGCCCCATGGAGGGGGCGGGCTGGGCCAATGCAGGGAACACAAAGAACGCTAGGTATCTGTGTAGTGACCAAGGGGAACGGGGCTATAGGAGAAAACGGCTCAGAGATTATCAGGAACCAGGTGAGAAGCTGGATTTGACTCTAAAGGCGATGCAAAACCACTGGACAGTTTTAACTAGAGGCATGGCATTATCTGACTTGTATTTCCAAAAGCTTCCATTGAATAAATCAATCAAGGCAAAGAAGGATGCAGGGAGACCAGTTAAAGACCACTTCTGGGGATCCAGGCAAAAAAGGATGATGATGGCTTGGGCCAGCAGTGTGAATGGAATACTGTCTTGGTAAAAAGTAATCTCCTTTAAGGGGTATAGAGGACCAGATGAAGACTTTGTTTCTTGTTATTCCTTAACCATAAGCATTCTTAATCAATTTTAGTTTTCATCCTTATTAGGGCACACACTCCTTAAACACAGGGCTTTTGTTTTTCTTGTCAGTCTCTCTTGTCTAGAAAGTGCTACTCTATATTCAGCGCCTTGTGGGTGCTGAATAAATATTGATTAAACAAACCAAATAATGAATCATGTCTACTGCAAGCGTGGGTGCTTGGTAACACGGAAACACAGAAGTGAGCTAGATTCTCCCATCCGTAGGGCACAACTGGGAAGGACATTGGAGGGAGAGTGGAGAGTTTGGGGCCGCTCCCCTTCTTCCATCCTGAGATGCTTTGGGATTGGAGTGGCCACTCAATTACTACCTCTCATTGGGTGACTGGGGGCTGTGCACACATATCCCAGAGCATCCTTACTCATTGCTCAAGGATGGGCCTGGGAAACGATACCCTAGCCAGATGAACAGAAGCCTTGCTGTTGGCGAGCAACACCCCTGAAATGTGATGCAGGCTGTGGATGGAGCAGACTGTGGCAGAAGGCATTTAAAGAAGGGCTTTACTCCACATGGAGGGAGAGGAAGCCCCCCCAAAACGAGCATGGTTGTACTGTATAGCGGGGATCCCCAAATTTCTTCTGTAAAGGGTCAGGTAGTAAATCTTTTAGGGCCCTCTCTCTCTGCTGCAATTACTGCAGCTCTGTTGTAACTCTGCAGCTGCATCATGAAAGCAGCCATGCACAACAGGTGAATGAATGGGTGTCATTGGGTTCAAATAAAACTTTATTTATGGATACCAAAATCTGAATTTCATATAATTTTAATGGGTTATAAAATATTCTTTTTTTCCCTTCAACTATTTAATCAATTCTATGAAGAAAATAAAACAGGGTAGTGTTTAAAAAACGTAAAAACCATTCTTAGTTCATGGGACATACGAAATTAGGTAACAGGCCACCCATGAGCCATTGTTTGTCAACCCTTCCTCTGTAGAGTAGGAAAGCAGGAAACCAATCCATCTGAAAGTTGTTCAAAAACTGGCAACTTTACGTGGTAATAATATTCAATACTATCCTTTAGTTTGTCAAAATATCATTTCATGGAAATGAAAATTTAGCTGTTTGTCTAACACAATATTTTCTGATGATAGGGTGGCATCAAACGTCTCTTGAGGACCTGCCAATTGGGAGCTACACTCCTAGCTGGTTCCCAGCTTCTTCTACACCCTGTTACGTGCTCTCCATGCAGAGGCCAGATGAGCTTTTAATAACATGCACCAGGTCACTCGTCCCCCTTCTTGAAACACTCCAGTGACTCGCCACTTGCCTTTCGAATAAGATGCAAATGTCTTATCTTGTCCTTGCCTGACCTCAACTCTGACCACCCTGGCTGTCCACCCAGACCTCTCCTGGGCCTTCAGAGCAGCTTCCTGAGGTCCCAAACCCTCCTTCCTTCCCCAGGCTTTAGCAGGGTTGGTCTTCTTTGGGAATTCAGAGCTCAGCTCAAATGTCAGCTTGTCAGGGGTGCCCTCGATCATCCAGTCCGGCTCAGTTCTTCCCCTCGTTACTTCTATTACTCCGCTCTGTTCATTCTTCATAGAACTGGTCTTTATCTGAATTATCTTGCTAATTAATTTATTTACTTATTTTTTTTTTTTTTGCCTGATTCCTCCCACCAGAAGGTAAGCTTCATTAAAACAAGGATAGTTCTGTCTAATCACTGCTGTCTCCCCATTCTGAGATATTTTAATACCTAACATTCGGTATTATACCTTATATATTTGTTGAATGAATAAAGGAAGGACATCGTGTGAGGGGTGATAGAATGTTACGTTCAGAATTGTGCTAGCATTTTACCCCAGTTGGGGATGAGGGTGACTGTGTATGACAGGATGGGGGGTTGGGTTGGGGTGGAAGACCATGGCCTTGAGAAATGGGCAAGGACCAGATCATGGAGAAGCCCTCGGGAAATACTACAGAGTTTGCCCTTTGTTTTGAAGGCAATGGGGGTGGCCACAGATGGGTCTTAAGCAAGGCCAAGATAAAAGGATTCAGTGTATTTATTGGAATGTTTACATTGGGAAAATAACAAAGCACTTATTATATGCTCTGTTTACACCATTAAGGATAGCAAAGGACACAGAGTAATCAGACCAGTCTTAACTTAAATGTGTGTGGAAAGATGCCAAAAAATGAATTCGAATTCAGTACAAATGTTACATTGCATCTACATGCCTCCATTCTCTTCTTGAGCTGGGGGAACTTGGAGTAGCTTTTGACAGTATTTCTGAATAAAAGAGCTAGAAGAAAAGGGGCTCCAAGTGTCAAGTTGTTTGTGTGTGTGCTGTGTGACAGAAAGAGGCTGTGTCAAGGTTTACCCTCGGTCTGAAAGAAAATAAGGATGCAGAACTAAAAAATAAAATGTGGTTCAACTTTGTGCTTGCAGTTCAGGCCCCGTGGCCCCGTCCCACCACGGAAACAAGATTTCTGTCCAAGATAAGCCTCTTTTAAAGTGTGTCAAACGCTCAAGCGAGAGACATTTAAAAGTCTGAAAAACAGATGGGAAGAGTTTCTTTTTTCCTGTCTACAAATCTGTCTCCTTTCTTTCCATCATTCTCGGTACTTGGAACAGAAAATTGTTGACTTCCACACACCTCTTTTTTATTAATTCAAGGAGAAAGGTGAAAAAAAATGAACCTTTAGAAACCAGAAGCCAGCTCTGCCCCCGAGGTAAGAGAAGGAATGGAAGTTGGAGGCTGTTTGAGGAAGTGGAAGCCCTGGGGCCCCAGCAACTCGTCAGAGGTTTCCACAGACAGTGGCTGTGCCACAGGTTACCTCAGAGCTGCTTTTTCATCTGCTTTAAGAAGAACCGAGGGGCAGGACAGCAATAAAGACACAGACGCAGAGAATGGACTTGAGGACACGGGGAGGGGAGAAGGGTAAGCTGGGACGAAGTGAGAGAGTGGCATGGACATATATACACTACCAGATGTAAAATAGATAGCTAGTGGGAAGCAGCCGCATAGCACAGGGAGATCAGCTCGGTGCTTTGTGACCAAGAGGGGTGGGATAGGGCGGGGGGGGGGGGGACGCAAGAGGGAGGGGATAATGGGGATATGTGTATACGTATAGCTGATGCACTTTGTTATACAGCAGAAACTAATACAACATTGTAAAGCAATTATACTCCAATAAAGATGTTAAAACAAAAGAAATTATATCCAACCACACACACACAAAAAAAAAGATGTTCATTTTTGTGATGTCTGAGACTACCTTTCTCTTACAAAAAAAGGAAAGGTTACCATCTGCCCATTGAGATCTCTGTTTATATAGATATTCACTAACAAATTAAACATGCTTCAGATGACCACAGATGGAATGCTTGGGACACATACGTGCTCATCATCCATAACTTTACTGTGCTTGTCTCCAAAATGAATTTCCTTTTTATTCATTCCCTGCACCACCCTCTGGAGTGTTCTGTGTGCCAGTGAGCATCATCCTAAATGGGACACATCTCAGATCACAAATCCTTCCGTGAAGATGCGCTTGCCTACCTTTCCTTGCCCACAAGGCTAAACAAGGGACAACCACGATTAAGGGTGACTTTTAAGACCTACATCTTTTGTGCCCCCGCCTGTGCCTTTGGTTGGTTCCAGTTGCTTGGAAGCTTTCAGTTACAAATGGCCTAAGGGAGGAAGTGCTCTGTGAGCCTAGGTAAGTGGTTAGAAACCAAGATACTGGCAGGGACACAAGTACCACCTGGAGCCAGGCAGCTCCCCATGCCCCTTCCATCCCGAGTGGCCACAGTATCACTGAGCCTCCAATCTTCCAACTTTAGAAGGCCCTTGGGCACTTTCTATTGCTGGATATGCATCCCATCTGTGATGACGGTGATGTAGGGTGACCACAGGAAGAGGGCTGAGCTCCCCAAATCTATAAGGAAAGACGGCGACACAATTTGGGAGGATCTACTATCACCCTGTGGGGCCCTCCTGAACTCAGATGGCTTGAAAAGACAACACTTACTGAAAAGTCATCACTGGGGAAGAACAGGAGATCTCGAAGGGGATCATTCTGATAGGTCTTTTCAAGTTCTTCAATGACAGTTTCATAATCCAAAGGCTGGAGAAGCCTGGGCTTTTCTTGCTGTAGACAAAGAAAATATTGTATTAACCACTGAAACGGAGAATCTTGCTTTTTCTCAACATCTGGTTGGATTTCATTTCTTAGAATCACCAAAGCTCTGATATCGTGCAACCCTTCTAAGAGAGTCATGGAGACTCCAGGCATTTGGGGCAAAGCCACATAACTATTATTTCCAGATCTGAAATAATACGAGAAGATCTTGAAATACCTGACATCTCACTCAGTAATTTAAGCGCCAAGCCTCCAGTGCACATGGCGTTCAGCCTTGTCACATCCACAGAGTAGATGTTTATGTAAACCTGATCTTTGTTAATGTGGAGAAAGGCCTTCTCCTTACTTGCTATAGTATTATGATGATTATCATCAATTTTCGTAAATTAGATACTTCCTTGTGAGGTCTACTTGGGTCTATTTTAAGCCGTTGGCTCCCTGCTAGCAATCAGAGTAACACAGACTGTCTTCGTCGTCACTGAAACTTGGATCCTGTGTCAGGATTAATTGCTTGGCTCTGAGCCTCTTTGCCGATATAGAGAGAAGTTGGGTAATTCTTTAGTAGGATTGAACAACACAGTTAATACAGAAACAGTGTGGTGAAAATGGAAAGGAGTCTGAAAAAATAGCTAGATAATCTCACCACATTAAACTCCTAAAGCCAAGGGGAAAGACACCTCCCTCAAAGAAGCTGCCCGAGAGATATTTAAAATGCCAGTGGGAGAAAGGTGGTTATTTCATTCTACAGTTGATATGTTTACGCCAAACTGTACAGAACTCACAATGTGAGAAAGATGGAGCCCAAAATAAATAATAAAATATTACTGAAGACCAAGTACACAGTCTAAGTTCCCTTAGCCCTTGGATGAAGCATTCATGCAGCCTAAATAAAAAAGGATCATTGTTTGGATTATTTTGGGGCTCCTGGAAGCTGGAGTGGTCAACGTGAAATCTGCATGCTAAAGTGATCTCATAAATGAAAAACAAAAATTATTTTATTTTTCATGTCAATGACATCAGCAGACACTTTCCCACCAACCCCACCCCTCCCCGCTCTGCAAAGCCCACAGATTTAGCTTCAACTTCTAAAGCCTTCTTTGGAAGATCTCTGCTGGTAAAGCTCCAGAAACTGTTACCAACATTTTAATAATTGCTAATGAGCTCCTCAAAGCAGCAGTCAATGTTTTTTTCCAACTATAAAAAACAAAACAAAACAAAATGTAACATGGTGGGCCAACAGCATGGATTTCCGTGTACTTTCTGCACCGAAACAGAACAAAAACAAACCCATTTTACAAATGCTTGAGTAAACTGAGGATGGTGAAAGGTGACTATCCTCTCTGGAAGGGCCCTTCAATGAAGATTGCTGATTTAGCAAATAAAAACACAGGACTTCACGCTTGGAGGAAAGAAGAAATTTAGTTGCCCAACATAATCCATTTAGTGAAAGCTGTGAGACATTCAATATTTTCAAGTAGAAGGTACAGAGACACTATGGCATGATGGGTAATTGAAAAAAAAGTCCTTCTTTCATCCTTTCCCTGCCTTTTGATATAATTATTCTATTTTAGACTTCTTTTAGGTTCCAATTCCCTATTTTCCCAGGCAAAAATTAATTCCAAGAAGCACAGATTGATAGCTCAAGAGGCAAATGCAGGCTGCAGACGTTTGTTTTGGCTCACTTATCTTAATGATTTTAGTTGGCTTTGAATGTCTTTGTGTAGTGGTATTTCACTCCAGGTCAGCAACAGACCTCAGTAGCCTGTCACCTCTTACCCTGCAATGTCACATGTAAAAAACATTTTTTTTAACTTTTTATTTTATATCGGAGTATAGTTGATTAACAATGTTGTGGTAGTTTCAGGTGTACAGCAAAGTGATTCAGTTATACATATAAATGTATCTATTCTTTTTCAAATTCTTTTCCCATTTAGGTTGTTACATAATACTGAACAGAGTTCCCTGTGCTATACAGTAGGTCCTTGCTGGTTATCCATTTTAAATATAGCAGTGTGTACAGGTCAATCCCAAACTCCCTAACTATCCCTTCCCCCCACCCTTCCTCTCCTGGTACCCGTAAGTTCATTCTCTAAGTCTGTGAGCCTGTTTCTGTTTTGTAAATAAGTTCATTTGTATCACGATGTCACATTTATAATATATTACCAGCTGCCCCAATAAGCCTTCAAGTCTGAAACACCTGGCTTATTCTGGAATCTCTTTTCCCCCCCTTAATATTGTGTTTGTGTATGAGACGTAGCAAGTAAAACAGAATGCATTGTAAAACGGTCAGGAGGCTCTTATCTCTGCCATCGAGTTGGTTGGTAAGCCCCATTTCCTCACTGTTTCTTCAGCTCAAGTGTCTGATGTCCTTCTACCAACAGCTCATGATGTGATTACTAACACTTTCCCTTTTCTCTCCCTTCTTCACACCAACATGCATAGGAGTGTGGGAGTGTGGCTTAGCGTGCGTTGGGATTTATAGGTTTAACTACTGTCAGCAATCCCCCGACCCCTGACCAGCCTCCTCCCATGACTGGTGACTGTTTAATGAGGTGTGCATCCGCCACAAAAACAGGAGTGCCCCTGTGGCCTCTGTCCTTCTGCACAGCCCCTTCCGGTGCCCCTCACCAGATCTCTGAGCTGGGTGGAGGGCTGTCCTGGCAATCATGCCCATTCCCACTCTTCACTGCACCTGCCCCAGAATCTGGGCCTGGGCCAGAGGGGCAGGGGAAAGAGGAGGCATTAGTAGGAAAAAAAAAAATAGAAAAAAATATGAACAGACTCAGCTTTGGGATTTCCAAACACAAAATAAATTATATATAAAATTATATCTCTACCACATGTGATGGAAAGACTTCGTTTGCTTTTCCCTAAGAAATAAAATGGAGAAAGCCTCAAAAAAAAAAAAAAAAGTCAAATGACATAAGGATGTTTTAGAAGGCCTTCTACAGTCTTGTTCTCGCTATCATTTTTTTTTTTTTTTTGCGGTACGCGGGCCTCTCACCGTTGTGGCCTCTCCCGTTACGGAGCACAGGCTCCGGACGCGCAGGCTCAGTGGCCATGGCTCACGAGCCCAGCCGCTCCGCGGCATGTGGGATCTTCCTGGACCGGGGCACGAACCCACGTCCTCTGCATTGGCAGGCGGATTCCCAACCACTGCGCCACCAGGGAAGCCCCTCACTGTCATTTTATCTCCCATTAGTCGAAAACTTGAGTGTTAATAAACAACCGCAGGTCAAGACCTTCAAAGATCTTTCTATCTATTTATTTACTTACTTACTTATTTATTTATTTTTACTAGGGCCTAAACTCCACCTAAAATGAATCCCACCTAAATTAGTACAATAGGAAAATCAGAGTTCACAAGTCACTGGTTATTAATAAAACCACAGGAAATCTAAATCCTAAACTCTCCTTGATACTCACAATAAATGGCATAGCCTGTAAGCACCTGTTGGAAGGCATATTTTTAGTTATTCACTTCAGGCTATGACATGCCAGCCAATTAACGAAGGAGGTTTACTAAGCCCTTCCTGTTTAAAATGTTGCACTGAGGTTATCTTGACTTGGGGCTGCAAAGCCTAGCAGATCTGCTTCATATCATTTATTAAGTTTTGACCTCTGGGGGATAAGTAAAATTCTATCTTTCCAGGGAATTTGTTAAATAGTGTGCAACATTCAAGATATTCAATGTTTCATAATTTGGGGAATATGAGGTTCACAAATAAAAATAATAGTGATATCTTCCACACTACCTAGAGCTTAGAATTTGGCAATGCTTGCTAAGGATGCTTTATGCATCTGTGATGGTGAGAATCCAGGCTATGCAACCAGTAGTCTTCTCTGGAGCAAGACAGCTGTCAGTTCCATGTTTTGGTCAAAGAGACAGATGTATACAAAGATGATGGGATCGGTTAATTTCTCACTACTGCTCCTTACAGAGATTTTGAGTGAAACTGGGAACTGAGAAGCATTGATTTACAGCTTTACAACAGTTGGGTTGTCCCTCCTGAATTTAATGTGCCTCTTTCCTTTGGAAATGCACCAACTGGGATAAGGTATGTGCCAAGATTACCCTGAATTGGATTGGACTTTTATAGTGCTTTTTACTCTTACTCTTTTTCTCTCAAATGAGTAATGAATTTCATTAGCTGTTCTAAAATCACTCCAGGCATGGGAAAAGGCAACCACCAGTGCCCGCCATTATGTGGCAGGGCTGGTGCTGCACTGATGTGGGAATAGGGCTATTCTTTTGATATAGTATTAAGACATTTGTTTGATCTACTCCCCCAGATCCACAGCTCTCTTCCAATTCGACTTCACAGCAGAAGAATGGGCTCCTGTCACAAAAACAAATGCTTTCTTCCCCTCTCCTTATTCCACAACTTCTCATGGAACGCCAACGCAAATCTAAGCCTTGGAATTGGTGAACCTGCCATCTTGGTAACAACCTGAGCTGCCGGGAGCTGTTTACTGGTACGAAACAAGCAGACTGTCCATGCTTTAGCTAAAGACTCTAATTTCAAGAGCATGGTGTGCTACCACAAAGATCTGAATTATTTTCATAATTATAATTCAAAAGCAAATGGATGTAGAAATGACACTGAAGATCTAAGCATTTGAAGTATGTAACACTGAAAAAAGTCAAATGACTAAATGATCAACCTAGACATCTCCCCAGAATCTAAGAAATAACCTAGACCACGCAGCCTCGTTTTAGGGAAGTGTGATTATAGGTTTTCTATGTTGAGATGCAACAGAGAGTGTAACATGCACTCTAGAACCAGAATTCCTGGGCTCCTAGTCCTGGCATTGCCACTTACGGGCTATGGAACTTTGGGCATGTTAGAATCTCTGTGCCTTAGTTTCCCAATCTGTAAAATGGACGTTTTAGTAGGAGTTAGCTCATAGAACCGAATGAGGTAATATCTGTTATGCTCTTAGAACAACACTATACCCATAGTACTCATTACATAAGTGTTAAGTAGATAAAGGCTGTGAGTTTTAAA